AGTATCCAAATGACTTTTTTTGGTATTGATATATTTTTTCCCAGGTGAAGAGTCAATAAAAATTTTATATATTCACTAAATTTTATTTATTGTTGACTTTTGGACTAATAAAGTTGTAGTAAAGAAAATTTTTAATTAACAATTTGTTTTTTTGTTGTATGTTTACATTAAAGTAATTGATTTCACGTAGTTTTTTATTTTCCATTATCCACGTTAGTTGGAAGTAGGAGTAATAAATTGAAATGGCTTTATGCTTTAATTTAAATGTGGAAACTCAGTAAACTTCAGTTTTATTTCAATTTTAAGTGCATTTATTGAGTTTAAGGATTTATTTAGACTAAGTTTTTATTTCGAAGTTATATTTTGAAGCTTAGTTCAAACAAATACATACAAGTAAAAAGTGAAAGTTTTGTTCCCAACAAATATTATTCATAATACATTAAAAGTTAGTTTCATAAATTATATTTGCAAAAAAGATAGAATTTCTAATTAAATTGAATTCCTTAACTTGTATTTTTTAAAGTAACATATTAAAAGTGTTGCAGAGATTCCTTAAATATAAGTGAAATATGCTTAAGGTTACATTTTTTATTAATTTTTTCTCCATTGACACATTCTACTTTCTCTGAAATATGTACGAGTAGTGCTATTTTAAGTGTTAAATCTAAATATTTTTATTAATTTTTATACTACATTGAAGTATATGAAGAATGTTAAGTACATCCTTTACTTGCCCCATAGTGGTTTTACTTTTTTTTATGTCCTTTTTATTTCCTATCACTAAAATAGGTAAGTTGTGAGTGATGTGAAAGCTAACCATTAACAGTTTGAACAATTTTTTGATAACACGTTCCTCATAAGTTTGGGTTTGGGTAACTGTAAGGCCGATAAATTGACTAGAAGTGACACTCAGTTTCACCACACAACATTTACATTAGATGAGATCTTCTTTATAGTTTTTGTTAAATTGGCTACACTGCAAAAAAAAATATTTTTTTATGCCGGACCAATAATAGCACATAAATAGCACATTTAAACGTAAAACATAGTTCGCCTACAATCGCCTAAAAAAAAATGAGCAAGTAATTAGTCTAATTTCTACGCAATAGAATTGCCATCCTGATGTAACGATGTTTTTTAGGTGTCAAATAAAAATAACCAACAAGATGGTCTTTCCAACGAGCGTTATCGGTGCTGGGAATCTAAGGAGGAAGAGGAAAACATTATATACCTACTTTGTTGGTAATGGTTTATGGGTTTGGTTTAGAGTTAGGCTTTTATGCACTGCGATCAGCTTGATCTATTGTGCATCCCTTTGTATTTAGAATTTTAGTATCACGAGGAGGCGAACTAGCTCTTTTGGAGGAAGCTTTTGAAGGTCTTTATTCTCTAGTTGATATACGCTAAGAATTTTGTGTCTCCTATGGCGTAGTGCATCACAGTTGGTGATCAAATGTTATATAGACTCTTCCTTATCATAGCAGAATCTATAAATATTTGTGGTGGATGTACTCATATTGTGTAGGTATTTATTGCAGGCGGAGTGGTCTGGTTAGAGCATCAGAGAGTGTACCTGTTTTGTTACTGTATGGCATTCGCTTGGAGACACATATAAATAGAACCTAACTTTCGCGATCCTTCAATTTTAACTTAAATTTACGAATATAGTTCTTAAACACATTCACCGTTTCATTAATGTAACAAAGCGGTCTACAAGTCCGGAATAAGGATATCTTTATTCAAAATGTTTAGCGTGCGATTATAAGTATGATATCGCGATTGGTTTATACTGAACTGAGAGTTGCAACGGGTTATAATTTGGATACCCCATCATCTAGGGAGTGAAAAAAAAAATTTTTGCTTTCAAAAGTTTAAATCTGGTTTTAGATAAGTCAATTTAATTATGTATAGAATCAATTTCTGATATATATTAGAAAACGATCGCATATTACTGCTAGATAAAGAAATTTAAAAAAAGGTTGTTTTTCACATATTTCTTAGTATCCACTGGTCAGTAAAAAAAAGCCACAACTGCTCTAATAGTAGTCTGGTTCTAGATGTTTATAGTATACAACAAAAAGATGGTAAAAGGTGGTCTGTAGAGATAAAGAAATGTCAGCTTCTACTAGTCAGTAAATTAAAGATGAAATTGCTCAAATAGTAGTCTGGTTCTAGATGCTCATATTGTCCTCCTATCTCTTCAATATTAAAGTGTGGACCAATAAGGTAGTCTATGAAGATAACGATTCTTCTTTGTATCATATGCTGTGGAGTAATAACAATGGCAAAAGATGTTGTTTATACTTAATTTTATGGAGTAATTTCTGAACCGAGTGACCGTACCTTAGTGCATTTCTGCTTAATGAAAAGTAGACTTGTGTTAGTCTGCTAGTATGATAATTTTTCTTGTGATTGATTTTGGAGATTATATAATGCATGGGACTTTTATCATTCCTTTCATTGTGGTTAAAACATTTTCAAAAACTTACTATATGTTGGTTTTCCATTTGATGTACGCTGTTTATATGCTATTTTTAGGGTTGGAAAATTGAGTGAATACTAACCAAAATGTATTAGAACTATCCTAGAAACTGTTATTATTACAGGTTTAATTTATTAAATCAAATATTGCATAAATGCATTAAAGTGTTATGAATTTTCGCAAAATTTTTTTTGGAACGTTTGTTTTCATTTTATCAGAGTTTTCTTCATAATCGGTCTTGGAATCGAAATATATTATTTTTTTTGTACTATATCATGTACGTAATTCATTGGGATGACCACTACTTTTTTTCCCCAAAGCGTTTTAGCTAATACTACAGTAGAACCTAGTATGTTATTCGGATCTTGATCTTATATTATTGTTGTGACAGACCCTGTTGCTGAGTAAATTGTTATTAGTTGCCGGTTTCTTCAACTCATCAGAAAAGACTTTACTCATCAGAACACTTTATTTTTAATAATAATTTGCTGATCATTCTTAGAACCATTCTCAAAATGTAAAGTATTAGTAAGCGATTAAGGTCGAATGGGTTTGAAGTGTTATTAGGTCAGTTTTTTTAGGAACATGGCGTTCAATACGGTGAAACTTCTTTTTCTTTATTAATGCTATATAACATTCGAAAAGCGTTCTTTCCTTTTAATCAGTATTCTCCGCCTTGTTTTGCCCCATTTATTGTTTTAATGAACTTTTGCGGGGTGCTGTTTATTCAGCTGAGTTTTTCTTCGGTGTATGATGACAATGTTTCATCCACAGTTTATTCTTATTAAACTAACTAGTTACTTATCGTCGAGTGTTTATGTAAAATATAACCTACAGATTTTTTCGATATCTTTGCGATGTCTGTAAACTCTTGTAATTTCAATCAATCATTTGAAAATTTTCAAATTTTTTTAGTCTTTTCGAAGTCAAAATTTTATTTGTTTAATCATAACATTTGGATATTATCGGTGTTCATTGTCATTGTGATTAATTTCAACATGTCAATAAATAATGACAGTTTTTTCTGGATGAAGAGTTATATATATATATAATCCTTTAACTCCTAGGAGGAGCATAGGGCCGCAACAAATAACTTCCACTCGGTACGATTGGTGGCCAATAGCTTCAACTCTCCCCAACCTTTTCGCATGTGTGACATTTCCGTGTCGGTTTGTCTTCTCCAGTTGTGAGCAGGTCTCAGCAGGTTAAGAATTATAGTAAAAGTTAAGAGTTATAGTTAGATTAGTTAACGTACTTGTTAGATTAGTTAACTTACTTGAAATTCAAGTAATTCAAGTAATCTGAAGTTAATTGGTCTAACGAAGACAGTGGAAACCATTACTCTAATTATACCATTTTGAATTTCTATGTTATTATTTCCTGCTTAAAAGTGAATCTTAATTAGCATATTGAAATTTCTTTTAACCTTTGGCTTCAAAATATTTTTCTCTCCACCTGTACTCGGAAATTGATCAAATCTTGGCACATACCTTGCAAAGTACTTAGACATGGTATGTGACTACTTAATAAATAATGGTATGTGGTATGTGATGTGATGGTGTGTGACTACATAAAATAATCTATATTTTAGATCAATTACTTTTTTCCTCACTTATGCATCTCTGTTTTAATGGAACTTTGTATTGTAAACAAGTCTATTTAATCTTTCTAGAAATTATTATTTAGAAAAAACTGTTGTTCAAATTGTGTAAAATATTCAATCACTGATAAAAATAATTAGGCTTAAAGGCGAAAGAAACTTAATATAAGCAACATGCATATTGTTTAAACATTTGAAGGAGAAAATAGTAATGTTTTTAAATTTATGATTAAGTTGTTAACCATGTGTTCAAAGCCAAATATCTTCAATTAATAGTTGTTACTAATCGATCCAAGCACAATGACACTGAAGTTAAAACCCCAGTCATAAATCAAGGGTGCAACTTCACCACGACGATCTTCAAAGCTAATGGTTCAATTATGGCTCATTAAGCTATTGACAACAAAATGCAATTAAGTTTTAATTGTTGAAATTCATTATTTTAAATAAATTTACTTTATTTATTTTATATTCAAGGTCAGATATATATGATATACATGCAAACCGTGTTCATTCTCGCTCCAAAGCTTCTTACAATAAAAACTATTTTGTATTGAAGACTCGAACGAAGTCGAGAATCCAAACGAAAATATTTAAAAATAATAAAAAATTTTAATACTTAAATTAATAGGTTTCCCTAAATACTTCTAAGAATATTTTACAATTGCAGTCAAAATGTGAAACAAATAATTTATTTAAGTGTACATAAATACAATTTAATGTATTCGAATATACGGCTATATATACTATATATACTATATACTATACTATAAGAATACTATAAGAAATCAGAATAAGACATAAATACAATAGAATACATATGTACACGTACGTAATTCGTAATTAAATGCTTAAATTAAAATGTAATAAAAATCAAATTACTGAAATTGCAACTGTACAGAGAGTCATTTCGGAATTTCATGACCAATATTTTCCCGACTGACCTTGAGCGGGCAGCGTATGATTGTAAGCAGCGGCGGCAACGGCTGCGCTATTTAGCTGGTTAGTGTGAGCGGCACCAGCAGCAGCGTAATCGTTAAGTGAATGTTGCGCGGCGGCATGATGATGGGCTGCTGCCGCATTGTAATTAGCAGCGGCCACTGCCGATTGGTTTAGATGATATGCTGCTTGAGACCAATTCGGTGCCGTTTCCAATTTTGGAAAGTTATCACCCAGATGAATTGAAGGTGAAATTTTCGAAACACTTTCAGCTGTCAGTTTTGAGAAATCATCAATTGTAAGTTTGGAATAATCTATACAGGATTATAAAAATATATTATATATATTTAGTAATAAAGTAATAACAGATAATGTTATTTACCTTGATGATAATAATTTTGACCACCGAAATGTCCATGTTGAAAACTGCCAGGAAAACCATGTTGTGCTGATTGTGCTACTAAATCATAACTACTCATTTGACCATGATGATGTGAATGATGATGTCCACCATGATTATCATTCATAGCGGCACTTGGTGTTGTACCAGCAGCTGGGCTATAGCCAGCCATAGAACCCATTGCCAATGAACCAAATCCAAGTTGCGCTGAAGCGGCACTACCACTAATAGCTGCTGAACCAGCACTACCACCATTCATCGGTGATAATCCAGCACTAGTTCCACCTGAATGTTTTCTTAATCTCGCCCTTCGATTACTAAACCATACTTGTATACGAGCTTCGGTTAGACCTGTTGTTTGCGCTAATTCCTCGCGTGAATATACATCAGGATATTGTGTACGTCTAAAGGCATTCTCTAATGTTTCCAACTGCTCCGCAGTGAAAGTTGTACGAGAACGACGCTGTTTTCGTTTTAATGGTATACCAGGCTCTGATTCTGTATCACTCAAGTCAGAGTCACGACCTTAAAATAAAAAATATATAATTTTAAAAAATGTTTATGAATTTTTAAATTAGATAAATAAATGAAAACGAAATTTTATAGCATTAGTTTATTATTATTTATAGTAATTATAAAGTGACTTAGTGTTAAATAATTGACAATAACTTAATATGAGTTGTAGACTAGTGAGTTATTTTGGTTAGCTTAACTGGGGTCACGTAGTATAACAGATTATCGACTGCACTTTCAAATAGGCTGTCGATGATACTACCATTTAGGTTGAAGACGACGCTGCATACTAAATTATCGATTAAGCTGTCAAGC